AAAAAAAAAAAAAAAAGGACTTGAAAAACGTAATCAGATCAACTCATTAATGATATCAATTTTGCAATGCCAAAAATATACGTATATATGGCGACGCTAAAGTTGACCGATTGCTTTGTTGGTTTCTGAGTGGGGAAGAAAAAAAAAAAGACATCGAGGAAAGGAAAGCGCAATAGATGGGATGCTAACATTCATTACTTTTTTCCCTCACTCCTCTTTCATTTCCTTCGTGTTCCCTTTCATTTCTGCATGTCTACCAACCAACCAATCAACTAACTAACTAACTAAATGACTAACTAGTTAGCTAACTAACTGGCTAACCAGCCAACCAATTACATACTTTTACTTCCTCCGGCTGTTTTTTAGTTATTCCATCATCACCATCGTTGCTGCCATCATCCAACATCTTTATCTTGTTTCAATAAATGAATCAGAAAATGAATAACTCAAAACATCTGGGTACCCCTGACGCAGCTTTTCTTCTCCTCTAAATTACCTCTTATCCATACTCTTCATTTCTATATATCAAGAGGAGTTATAGTATTCTACCACTCTTTCCAATTTAAAGGAGTGATCAACACGCGTAAACTCTCATCCGAACGAGTAAAAAAATTAATTTTTGAAAAAAGGCACTAAAACACTTGTCTACCATCGGACCACAACATTAGCGTCGGACCGATAATATCGACCTATACTATCTTCCAGTTACTGACCAACCGTTTCCTCTAAATTCCTGCAAATTCCACCAAAATTCGCTCGCTCGTTTACGGCTAAAGTATTTGAATTCACCTCCTTCTTTTTTTATTTTATACTTCTATTAACTTTCCGTTGTGCGTTAATCAGTTCTTCTTTCCGAAATAATAAGCAGAAAAAAGATGAAAAAAAAAGTCGAACTAACTAACTCATCTAACTCAAAAAAAAATTTTTTTTCATTCTCGTGAAAACCAAAATGCAATGAAAAATTGCAACATGCCCATCTGTACACAAACAACTTAAATTACGTCAACTACTTTATCAAATGTTTTTTCTTCTCACTTTTTGACCACTCTACTGGAAGCCAAAGTCACAAAGAGATTCTACCCTTTCATATTATATTAATCAAACACCAAAATTATAATGACTCTATTTTAACAACAAGAGAAAGCCTTCCCCTCTTCTCACTGATACATCCAGTAATAAAAATAAAAAAATATGTATATAGTAGCGTAGTGATTAAGGAAATGAATGAGCCAATGGACAAATGGATAAAGATCAATCAAAAATTATTAGTCAAAAACACAGTGACTATATTAAGATTTCTTCAACAAAATTTGGCTTCTACTCACTATTATACATACAAAACAGTGGCAGAAATAAGCTTTATATCAGTCCGGCCAAAAAAATTCCTGCGAAAAAAGAAACCTAAATATAATAAAAAGAAAGAAAAACATTGCAGATCTAAAAAAATAAGCTCAAAATGATAGACGAGAGAGTAAAGAACGATAATCGACGTTACAGCAAACCAAAAAGAACAATAAACAATAACAATAAGAAAATCCCAATTAATACACAGACGGTAACTAATATTGAACAAGAAAAATTCCGAAAACCGCAAAATATCCTATTCCCTCTAAAACAAAAAAATTTTACCATATTCAGTGGTCAAAGCATCACTACAATCACCGACATCAATACCAACAGAGCAACTAAAAATCCGATTGGTACTTCAAAAAACGGAGGAAAGTTTATAATTTCTCGTAGACTCGAAACGGTAGGTAATAGAAACTAAAATATAGAAGTGTCCTAACCAGTACCAACAATTAAAATTCAGGTTAACAGACAAAGAAAAACATCGTGTTAATTTCAACGTTACTCAAGAAAGCAAAAGATACAGTCAGAACAAAAATCAGACAACTGTAGACGACAGTTAAAAAAACCTACAAATATTTCAAACTGCCCGATCGCTAATGAACCATCTGCATAATTTCTGAACAGTTCAACAGAAAAAAAATGGAACAGAAAAATAATTAGCATGATTTCCTTCTCTATTAAGACGTTATTTAACTTCAAAAAAAAAAAAAAAAAAAAGTTTTATAAAACCAAGGCACTGCCTTATTATGAACTCGTAGCTAAACCAATAATCTGTCATTAAAAAAACTTGGAAGAAAAGAAATTATGTACGAACACACATAAAGATTTTTTGTCAAGATAATTTGCAAAAAAAAAAAAAATACATTGAGAAAATCACAAGTGCAGTAGAAATTACATATTATTACTCGCTTCAAATAAGTATGGCGAAATAAATTATTACGCTTTGAGCGGTATGCCTAAAACATAGCAAATAAGTAAATGCAAAACTGAAAAATGAACATGACTTTTCTCTAACTGTAAAGGCCATGATAATTTCTTAAATTTCTATATCTTAACTAGCAACAAGTATCTCACAAAGCAAATGTTTCAATATTCTAAAATAAAATCGTTGAAAATAAGAACTAAAACCTGTCCTTTCCAAAATCACAAAAGATTACACTTTGAGATTATACTTGGGTAAAGAATTGAATAAAAATACTATGTGATTACAACATTATCATGCAGTTCTTGAAAAAGACTGAGAAACCGTATCACTACTAAATAACCTTCTCTCATTACAGATTAAAAATCAGATCTATTAGTTAAAATCGAGTTGAGTTGGTCTTCTTGTTTTTTATAGCATCTAATATAGGTTGACGCTTCGTTTGATATCTACTCTGCAGCTCCCGTAGCTCAATATCCATTTCAGCATCAAGATTTGACTTACGACGCAGTAACTCTTCCGTTGGCAAATCA